TCTTGAAAAGATTCTTGTGCAAGAATCTTGTACATTTAACTTCTTGTACAAGTTACCTTCTTGCAGAAGTTAAATTCTGTGCATTTAAGTGTTCAGACAGAACCAAAAATAGCACAAATAAGACTTGAAAAAAAAAGCTACTGAGACTCATAGTATACAAAGAAATATACAGAAAATGTAGAGGCCATAAAACAATTTAAAAAAACCCAACCAATCAAAAACAAAACCCACATCAAAACCTCAGAACTCAAACTTCAATCTAAATTGATCTCCCTAAAAAAACCTGCCAAACAATTCTGGTTATTCGATTAATTTCCATCTATATTTTAGAGCCATTGTTTATGTATTTCAGCTAAACCTTGAGGAGAAAATTTATTAATGAAGTGCAACAACAATACTAAACTGAAACCATTTCCACATTTTTAATTTTTATGTAACTGTGAATTTGCTTCCAAGCTCCTTTAACCCTTAATGACAAATGTATGCTCCACAAATCAAGAGCAATCAGCTGTGACGTCACTGAGAAATCATGTGCAAGTATTTTTAAAAATGTATGTACTGTAATTTTTTATATAGGTATATAGAAAATAAAAATACTGTGTATAAACACACAGTCAACAATGTTGCTATCACAGGCACTTAGCGGATCACAGGGAAAATACCGTTTCTCTACTTGTCCACATAAAAATAAAGAGTGCTCAGCAGCCAGATCCATTCGCAGCTCTTTAAGTAGAAATCCACAAAATTCTACAGTCTCTGTGAGTTTCTCCACCAAGGACAGCCAGGCTCCAAGGCAGGAGAGTGGGCAGCGACAGCCTTCATCCCCCATAATGCCCAATAATCCCGTTCATAAACTCTGGCTCCACCACCACCAGGAGCCACCAATACAGATTCTAACTGTGGGCAAATCCTCATCTGAAGAGACTGTCATACCTCTTCTAGTGACAGATTTCTGTTGTTTACAGATCTGCATGTGCATCATCCTCACCGGAGGAGACAGCCACCGTTCTAGGCATCACTTCTGCTGCTGGTGTGTCTTCACAAGACTTCTCTGAGCTCCCAGATCAGGACACACAGACACATACTTCCCTAATACCAGCAGGACAGAGACTAATAACTTATTTTACTATCCCCTTTAGCGTCGGAGGCCTTCCACAGCCATAGGGAAGGATTTAGGAACTGCATCTACATCGTTTTTCTGTGACTGGCACTATCAGCATGTGGATGCTCTGGCTGGCTTTGGGAACAGCCACAAATGATTATTCCACATTTGGAAGGAAAAGGCTACATTCTTCCCAAACCCCTGTACAGTCTCTGGGGGCTTTCCTGCTCAGATTTTAAGATTTTGGGAAATTCTAATGTAACTCCCAGCTCTGCACTGAGCTTTACTTCCCCACTTCTTCATTAATCACTATCCGCAACAAACTGTGGATCCGGTAACAATGCAAAAGCTCCCACTCCCCAACATTAGAAATCACAGAGGAGTCACGTTTGAAGATGCTGAGGCTGGGGAAGTCCCTAAACTACCAATTTCCAGAAAGCAGGGAGAGAAATCTCTCTAAATTTGCCTTTTATGTTTTCCTTAAATTCAATTTAGATCTCTATGGGTGAACTGTTTGAGTTTGTCCAATCATTCTTAAGAGAATCACAGAATCACTTAGGTTGGTAAAGACCTTTAAGATCATGAAGTCCAACTGTTAACCCAGCAATGCCAGATCCATCACTAACCCAAGTCCCTGAGCACCAGATCTACACATCTTTTAAATACCTCCAGGCATAGTGACTCAAGCAGTTCCCTGGGCAGCCTGTTCCAATGCTTAATGACCCTTTCCCTGAAGAAATTATTTTCCTAATATCCAATCTAAACCTCCCCCATGGTGCAACTCAGGGCCATTTCCTTATCCTATCACTTGTTACTTGGTTGAACAGACCAATCTCCACCTCACTACAACCTCCTTTCAGGTAGCTGTAGAGAGCGATAGGATCTTCCCTCAGCCTCCTCTTCTCCAGATTAAACCACCTCAGTTCCCTCAGCCACTCCTCACAAGACTTGTTCTCTAGACCCTTCACCATCTTCACTGTTCCAGCACCAGCACCTCAGTGTCCTTCTTGTCATGATGGGCCCAAAACTGAACACAGGATTTGAGGTGTGGCCTCATCAGTGCTGAGTACAGGGGGATGATCACTTCACTGGTCCTGCTGGCCACAGTGCTTCTGACACAGGCCGGAATGCTACTGGCCTTCTTGGCCACCCAGGCATGCTGCTGGCTCATGTTCAGCCAAAGAGCTTTGAACTGAACTGATTTAGATGAAATCTACCACACACTACAGCTAAATCTCAGTCTACTTCAAAGCACCTCGTGAAACATGTATGAAGACTTGAGCACTCTGCAGTTCGAGTGACACCCAGGACACTGGAGCTGCCTGGAGACAGAAATGCTTTTGTACTCAAGACACACACATTTCAGAGCAAACTTAAGACATTTGTCATTTGTGGTTTCAACACTCTGGATGCCCACAAGGCACGAAGTCTGCTGCCTAAGAGGACCAGCTATTCAAGCTATTCCTCCTGCCTGCTACCAGCTAACTGGGACCACCTCCAGGCCCCTGCAGTCCCTGTGACAGTCACTTTTGCCTCTTCCAACTCCAGCAGCGGCTGCACAGACTGCAGACCCAGCTGTGTCTGAGAACAATTTTGCTCAAGCCATTTACCCTTCCCATAGCAGAGCATCACAAACAGAGGACAGACAAACACCTTCACTACAAATCACCTTTCACATGGAAAAAAAACAAAGGAGTTTGGTTTTCATGGAGGTAGAGGCTTGACTGACCCTGATACTCCTGAGCACCTGCAGCCGAAGTTCTGCTCCGGTTGTGCAAAGAACCACCATCACTAAAAAGAAGGGCCAGATGTCTATGTGGCTGCAAGGACTGATCACCAGTTCCCAGCAACCACCTGCAGCAGTTCAAAGCCACAATTACAACTCTATGAAGTCATTAAACCTTTTAAGAGGCATCTGCGAAATGTTGCCCCTCTTCCTCTCATTCTTCCTGAGCAGCAAGGTCCAACAGCACCACAGAAGACACAAGGAGGTGAAGCAGTTTGTGACGAAGCCCATGTGAAAGAGGCTGAAACGCTCCAACCTATGACAGGGAGCACTCAGGCATGCAGTGAAAACACATGATCCAAATTCAGATGAAACCATCTTGAAGTTCTCTCAAGTTTAAAACCTGCCAAGAATCAGAGCTTGCGAGACGCTCTGCTGATTACAAACCCACCCACCTGCCTAAACTCAGCCCGTTTACACGGAGCATTCTGATCCATGCTCACTTTCACAGGTTGCAGTCTCCACAGCCAGAGATAAAATAAAAAAAGTTAAAGACTTTGCTCTTTTTATGTGTGAAAAAATGCTCTGATTACCTCATTCCATTTGACACGTGTCACAAAGCAAAGAAGAATAATTTCAGGTCCCATTAAAAGGAAATATTTACAGAATAGATTTTTTCCTTTTTAGGAAAATTAGGGCTCACATTACAAGATTAATAAACTCATATCAATCCCTAAAGAAACGTCAAAATTCCTTTTCTCTTACGAATGGATTTTTTATGAGCAAATTCATAAAACAGCCATGATTAAAAGCAGAATGCAATTTATTGTTCTTCACATTTTCCCCACAGGCCTGTGAATTTGAGACTGAACTGCTATTACCGACTGCAGAGTGCTAAGACTGCTTCTATCCATCCAGCTCAGGTACAGCAGGTAATTTTTAAGGTTTAATTCACCGACACCGGTCACAATTCTCCAGCTTCTTGATATTCAACTTAAAATATCCTTGTCATTGAGCTTCACTACATCAATCTTTTTTGTTGTTGGGCGCTTTTTCTTTTTAAAGATTTTACAGGAAGGGACAACATCTCTCAGTGTCTGTGTTTTCCATCCCACCCTGAAGTTCATCAGCAGTTACTAAACGCTGCCAATTCTAATGCTTTCTGCCACAGACAACATTACGATGACACCAACTTCCACCCACCACCAGGCTTTGTGGAAGAGGTGATTTCTGCCAGGTTACAGAGTGGTTCCCCAAAGCATCCTCAATGGACTAATGACAACCAGACCATCACACATTATTCAACTTTTCACTCAATCTATTTTCGTAGTTCTCTGGCTGCTTTTCTTCAGTATGTCTCCAGGAACTCACTGTGCGTCATCTACCAAGCATGCCAGGCACTCACCCCGGCACACCAACCACACGGGAAACAGAACATAAAACCACAAGGCCAGGACTCGGGACTTGTACCCCCAGTGCTTCCAGCTCAGCTCCCCCTAGTGCCTGCAAACCAACGAAGCCGCAGGGGATTCACAGAATCACTTCAGTTAAAACGTTGGGTGAACGCGGTGATCGCTCAGCAATCGGTATTTAAGAATGGTCCACCACCCAAAAAGTTTGGGAAGCATCAGTGTAATTAGCAAGCTGTGGGCATGTGTGCAGGCTTGTCTAGTCTGTAGTTATTTCTACCAGCAGCATGAAAATCATCTGTCCAACAGATCCGAGCATCGCTGGTTCCAAGCCTGCAGAAGATACATGTGAAGAAGTGGCTATTTGTATAAAATGAGCATATTGTGGAGTAATTATTGGCACCGGGAGAACCTTGTAATTAGAAACAAGTAGGCGTGCTTTGTTTGTAAACAAATTGCATTTTGGTTCATCAGAGATGCTCCTTTAAGAACAAATTACAGCAGATGCTGCTTGTGTTTCCAGTGATTGAAAGGCCCCACCTGAATAAGCTACAAAAGGGTCACCACTGTATTTAACCCAGCGCTTTCCTAGACAGGAATCCTGTTGGCAGGGGCTGTGACCAAGCACGCAGAGCACAGCACCCGGAGGGGCTGCTCATCAATTACACAACCCTCTCCTGGAGGGTCCCCCTTGCTGGCGCCGGGTTCAGGCAGGGTGTGCAGCTGTTGTCACCTAGGGCAAGGCTGGCCACGTTCCTGACCACAACTGTTTCTGCTTCCCCATGTCACCACTAAGCTGAATCCACTGGCAGTACAAATTGTGGATTTGCATTACAAGACCTCTCAAGAGGGTTTTCCATCAAAAATAGTGATGGAAATAGCCTACAGGGATGACAAAAATCCGTGTTACAAGTATCCATGTCCTGGCAAAACCCATTTCCCTGCTATGTGCATGCACACACACTAAGTGAACATCAGAAAGCAAACCAGAATATTCTGCCTGCACCTCACATAAGAGATTTCCTATTTAGGGCCCATTTACAGTAGAAGGCTGAGGACAGGAGATTGGGGCAGAGTCACAGAATTATTTGTTTGTAAAATGTCTGGGTTGACAAGATGGCAGGTTTTTAAACTGATGTTTACCTTTGTGTAAAAGTCAACATCCTTTTTGGATCTCGTATTTTCTGTTTCAGGCTTTTGTTTTTTCTATTTTTAAATCAAGGGTTACTTTTTAAATACTACAACATAGCAAAAAAAAAAAAAAAACCACAAAAGGAAGAAATAGGAAAATTAGATTAAGCATGGTATAAATTCCACCACAAATATGGTACAAACACCACCACCTACTGTCCAAAGCAGGATTCTAAACCACTGGCACAGACTTAAAAGAAAAATTCAGAAAACTGACAGCAGCCTGAACTGAGACAGAAGTTGAAAGCATTCAGCGTAGAGCAGTTTAAAACCCGCTGCAGCCATTGGTTTCATTATGACCAAAGGCAGAGTTAACTGTAGTTGTGCACTAAAGGCAGCCAGCACATTCTGGAGTTCAGCCCTGGGATCACCAAAACTGCTTCAGGTCGTTATCTGCGGTGTCAGCTCACGTCAAGAGTAGGTCCACTTGCTGCAACTCTCATTTTGAATGAATTAGAAACGAAACTATGATTTTGCCTGCAACACTCTCCTCAACTTCAAATAAAGAAAAATGGTTTACGTGCAGGCAATAGCCCTTTGTGCAGTACCATTTTCACCTGTTTTTCCATAGTGGCACTATGGGCATTTCATACATCAGCACACAGTCACTTTCACCTGCCTAGAAGATAGCTCCCTTTCATAGACATGCCTGTGCACAGCAAAATTATTAACTTCTTTGAGAAGCCTTTAAAAGATGTTTTTTCTTTTTTCTTTTCTTTTTTAAATTTCTGAGGGCATAAGTGCTTAAAAGTGCAAATACTAGGCAACAGTCTCACCTTTGCTTAGGATCTTTCTTCAGCAAACCCGACAAGAGAGACTTTGCTTCAGGCGACAAAGTGCGTGGAAATCTAATCTCTTCCATGAGGATGAGTTCAAAGAGCTTTTCATGGTCCTGATTGTAGAAAGGGAGGCGGCCACACATCATTTCATACATCACAACTCCTAAACCCCACCAATCCACTGCACGACCATAGTCATTGTCTTCCAGCACCTGTAGAAATGTAAGGAAAAGGCATTAGGAGGCATTCTCAGAACAGGCATGAACATAGAACCCATGAGGCACGAATTACCCCAGCAAGTTCATCTTTTCACATGTTACAGCTGAATCCACCAGTAGAATATTTGCAGAAGATCCATTTCAAGAGAACTGGCATCTATGTTCACCACACTGGGTGAGGAGAAAGAGGAAAAGGAGGGAGCAGGTACATTACGGCAGCCTCCTTCTCTTCTTCCCACCCTCCCTCACCTTATGGTCATGATAAGCACAACATTCCAAAGTCCAAAGGTTGAGAACTGTTCTCATGTTACAGAGTCAGCTGTTAAATTCTCACTCTTTCATCAAAAATTGTTCCAACGAGATCCAGTTTTTTAGAAAAACTCCACACCAACAAGGAGCTAGTACAGGGAGAAAAGACCATCCACTTGTTACTTCCCAAATGACAAACCAAACATCCCCACCATCAACCTGCACCCCCCACCAAAGGGTGGCCCTGCACATGCTGAAAGACCACCCATAAATTCTCAATGACTACATACAACACTGTAAGAGCCAGAACCACTCCTAACCTCTGACCAGCCGTAAGGCCATAAAACTACAGCCAAATTGTCTGTAAACATTTCTCCTCCTCCTCTCTGTCCCCCTCCAAAGGCCCTGGCTTACCAGTTCTAAGGCCCCAGCCTCTTGCTTAGAGGGCTGCAAACCCAGGGACTGGTGGTGGGGAGGACTTCTGCCACGTCTTACAGCAGAAGGAGTCCAGCATGGTTCACCATTCCCTTCCCCTGGGCACTTCTACCTAATGAAGGCCCGGCCGGTGCAGGGGCTCGGGACCCCAGCAGTGCCCTCCACCTCTCCCATTTGCCCCAGAGAAGCCCTGTCATGCTGCATTTCTGATCTTCTGCGCTGGAGGCTGCTGAAGGGAGTGGGGAGTGCTTTGTGGCTTGGGGAGTGGATGTCATGCGAGGACTCCTCTAGACTTTGTGTCTCCTACGCAGTTGTCCATAGCTGACGCCAACAGTCTCATGTTCCAGACCCTGTCCTCAGGTTTTCGTCGTCGTCTTTACTCTTTCCACGGGTCTGCAAACTGCTTACTATTGCTAAGAGCACAAACCACGACCCCATCACCACCACGTTTTCATGCTGCATGGTACCCGTGTGAGCTTTGCAGTGCTAAAATTCACAGCACCTTCCACTGAGAATCCAGGTGGCGAAAGAGCCAAACGAAGTCGATGCCAGTTTAACAGAAGCAGGATCTGAACCTCTTATAAACCTTGACAAAGGTTTTGCACACAAAAAAGAAGCAACAAGACATTCCACGTACCAACTGTTTGCACTCTGCCTCTCTTTATTCACTAATTATTCCCCTTCATGATCTGACCGAGGGAAAGGCTCTGCAGTAAAAATCAAAAGGCTGCCAGGTATTAGGTTACCCCACGTTGGTCTATTTACAGCATCCCCTGCCGTATGATTCACACCAAACGACAGCTGGCTGGGCAGCTGCCCCGTACATGTACACGGCCGACACAGCTGCCGGCCGGACAGGATTCCAGGAGCCAGCCCCATCCTTCCCGAGGCATTGCAGCCCTTCAGCTCACAGGAGATATTGTGTGACAATGCAGCTACCGCTCTCTGAGCCACCCCGTTCGATAAGCTCTTCCTGTTCGCACTCCCCTACACTTGGGCTACCTAAAATAAAACCGTCACGGGGCCTCCGATTTGTATTTTTATTTTTTAAGCCGCTGCAAAAACCACAAAGGCCTTTGTTGTGCATGCAAGAAATGCTACAAGTGCTTTTGAAACGCAGCTACTCAAAATATTACTTTAGTAAGCACATTAATTATAATTGTAATTATAATCTGTATTATAATCTAGACTACTAACTACAACTTTCTTTCATCTCCCTGAATTTTAAACAAAGTATTAAACGCTCATTTCTTCAAAGTTCTTTATCACAATGAGTGTAAACTCATGTTGGTGACTGCACAAAACAGAGCAATGGTGTTAGTATTAAAAATATACCGTAACAAAAAAGCTCTTGCCCTCACCCATGATTTATTGCAACACACAGGATAGCTGGGGAGTAGTAAAGTAACAAGGTCATTTCACTTAAATTAAAGGATCATCATTTCCTTAACGAGCAGCTCTAGACTGCTGTGAGATGGAATTTGAAAGAGAAGGCAGAACAGCTGTAAACACCAGAGCCACCGATGCCTCCAACACATCAAAGTTGACAGAGTGCAGCCACCGTCATCCACGCACGAGATTCCAAGATGAATCTAAAACAACGATGCAACAACTGCACAAACTTGCTGCTATGCTCGATTCAAGTTACGCAGGCAAGGGGATCGAGAGCCCTGCTTTTAAGGCTGTACGACCTGAAATGCACAGCGTATCACTCCTGCACAATTTCCAGATTTTTTGCATGCTATTGACCAAATGACAAAAGCCTCCAGAATTAAACACTCCACCTCACAGATGGGATTTGCAAGTAAGTGAGAATGCTGGGTTAATCAAAAGGATTTGCTCTTCAGGGCTTTGGATGAGTCAACTCATCATAAATATTAAAAAGAAAAACAACAGCAAATAATGTAATAGAAAGAAAAACATAACGCCTGCGCGAGGAATCCCCACATTCCAAGTTAGGGAAAAACAAAACCAAAACAATAAATATTTTTAGTCTTCTCATACAATCCTTGATGAGAAATTGAAGTTCAGCAATAAAGAGGGAAGCTAAAATAAAAGCCGTTTATTAATAATAAACACTCTGTCATGTTGCTAATTACTCCCTGCATCAGTACATCTCAAACTGTGGTGCATGGACCCCAATTTAGATCCACTGAAGACTTCTGGTGATCCACAGAGAGCTGGCAGCTATAGGAGACTGACTCCACCTCCTTGCTGCAAGCTACCTCGACAGGTGCCATGTTCTTCATTATTACAAAGAGACTGGAGGCCCTTGAAAGCAGCTGGGAGTTAAAAAACCCAAAACCAAACAGCAAAAACCCCAAAAAACAGAAACAAACCAAAACCCACAAAACAAGAGCACCCTGCCAGCACCATGCAATTGGAGAGCTGATCAGCAAAGACATCAGCTCTCAGTAGAAATACTCCTCCTCCACTTTGGTTTCCCATACTTTGTACTCCTGCCTACTTCAACCCGAGCAAGGTTTGCAATGGCCAAGCCTCCCACCTCGGAGAAAGGCTACACTCTGGCTGCGCCAACAACGCGTCATCTGCCGGCAGCCCAGGACTTGCTTCTGCCTGTGCTCTGAGCCAGACCGAGTCCTGCCACCACGGGTAGCAAAGTGCCCGCTGGAAGACGACGAGTCCTCCTGCCAGGCACCCGGCGCCAGCGCAGGCTCGGTGCCCTGCTAACACAGCGAGTCTGCTTCTAGACAGCTCAGAGCGTGGGCAGAGAAAACGAGTGTCTGCCTGCAAAATACCATGTATACATGTATGCACTATCGCACAATTTCACTTCTGATCTGCCCGTAACTAACTCACAGCTCTAACACCTTCTGTGAGTTGTGCAACACAGGTGGAGTATTTGCAGGATGCAAGTTAGGAGCACACATTTGCATTTTACACTTAAAAAAAAAAAGAAGTACACAAAAACTATTCAAAACATAGTTTGGGGACTGAGATCCCCTGCTTGGGTTTATTTCTTCTGAAACTGAAAAGTTAAATTAACATTGAGAAACATCTATTGCTCTTAGAGTCCCAAAACAGTCATCGTTTTCAATGTGTGCTACATGAAATATTGCAGAAAAAGCTTGGTCTGTCCTGTTTCTGAAAACACATCCCCTTATACCATCTTCAAAGAGTAAAAGACTGGACAATACTTTTACTTCTTAAGCAAAATCCTGTTGGCAGCTTTCAACTAAGCCAACAAACTGCAAAACAGTCACCAAACCATCATGTATCTGAAGTGATTTAAAAGTGGTTTGGTTTTTTAAAATTAGATTTCTGACACAAGAAGCAAGGCCAGTTTCAGTGAAATGTAAATATTCCCTAAAGCGAACGGAAGATACTACCCTGCCCAAAAATTATCACATACTGTTATGCTGAAGATATGTCCCAGAACATGACGAATAAAAGATTCCTGGTATGTGTTGTTATAGAACAGTAGCTACTGTATGAACATACGATGGCACGGGAATTATTCTGTATGGCTCCTGCTGTCATCGATGGCATGTGAGATACTCTAGTACAATGGCCAACATAAACATACCTCTGGTGCAAGATACTCTGGAGTGCCACAGAAAGTCTTCATTGTTGCTCCATCCTTGATGCCTTCTTTACATAGTCCGAAGTCGGTTATTTTTATGTGTCCATCTTTATCCAGCATAAGATTTTCCAACTGAGAAGAACACCCGAAAGAAAGATATTATTGCACGTAACATACGCTGCTCCTGAGCAAGGCAATGAAAGACAAAAATTTCCGCAGAAGGGTTTTCAACTTTGTCCTCACTGCTGAGGCACGTATGAAGTACACACGCATTTGTATCACTTTCGTTAGCTCTTTAGGGTATGTCACGTAACTAATTTTCAGTCTTTGGGTAAACTGATCATACATACAGAATGAACACAGAATGCAGATATTGCACTTAGGCTTCAACAATATTATTACCAACAGATACAAGTTCTACTAAAAATATATTAAATATTCCCTCTCCCACAACTTCATCCCTGCTTTTATTCTAAGTGATTTTGTGAAATATTCTGTACCAGTAAAGGATAGCAAACGAAATAAAAATAAAACACATGGCTAGGGAACCACTTCCAAAGAGACTCTTTACATGAGAATCACTTTATACATTTACTCAGCATGTGGTACTCAGCCTAGCCTGTGCCAGTAATTTTTGAGAAAGCCATTAAGATTTCAGGACTGAGATTCCACTGTGTATGAAATAAAGCACACTTTCAAAAGAATCACAGTGATAAGGGAAACAAAATCCAAAGAGGAATCCCAGAATGACAACCTCTTAGGCCAAAGAAGTACTCAGACATCCTGTAATGTCAAGTCCACTGCTGCAATACTTGCTACCTTAAGTTCAGTCAGGAGAAGCTTTCTTATCATTCAGGCTCCTTTGCTTTTATGACTAGCAAATAAGAAGCCCAAACTCAAAAAGCTTATGACATTTTTTTTTTCTACCTACCTTCAAATCTCTATAAACGACATTCTTCTCTGAATGCAAGTAATCCAGTGCTGAAACAATCTCAGCTCCATAAAACCGAGCCCGGTCTTCAGAAAAGACACGCTCTCTTGACAGATGGAAAAACAGCTACAAGAACAATAATTTGTTACCTTCAGATTGCACACATGTCTGAGTTATGCCCTGCACTTCGCAGGCCATCCTGCTTGGAATGCAATATTACCACGGAGACAACCCCTTCCCATTTTCACGCAGTTGCATTCCCAAAATTGTCAAAAAGCATCACAAATTAAACAACTAGACAATTAAATTCACAGATGCACGCTGATACCTAGTTTGCATCCTGTACTCGTCTGTACAGAAAATCACAAAAGTTCATTTTGACTGAACTACAATTACACATTAGAACTACAGCTTAAAGCATGATGGAGACATGTGAATATCCCAGCTTTTCCTTTTTGATTGTCTAACAGGAGTTTGCTCTTTCTAGCTCTCCCTCCGAAGTAACACGTGCTCACAATATTCATTAACAAGTGTTAGAAGCTGTCTTAAGAGCAACTAGAAAGCAACCTTGCCTTCTTGAATTACTACATGTCAGATTACAAATGTGTTGCTGTCACGTAAAATAGGAACCTATAACCAAAACCTCTATTCTCTACAAAGGGAATTAAGAAAATTAAGAGTCTTAATATTAGTTAAACCTGCAAACAGCTCTGTTTAACTGTGACAACTTGGACTAATTAGAATTGCAAACAGGGACCGTAGCTCAGTAATGTGAAGCAGATTTAGTAGTATTACTAGAGGAAAATCCTGAAGTATTAAACATTATTACTTTTCCCTTACCTCGCCTCCATTAGCATACTCCATAACAAAACACAAGCGATCATGTGTCTGAAAGGAATACTTTAAAGCCTGAAACAGATGTAGACCACGACTTAGATCACACTGACAGTTATAAAAAGATTTTTAATAGATTTTCAGAAACACAGGCATACATTAAATTTTCTACTTTAGTGGATTTTTTGTCCTTGGATCTTACATAATGCAGCTGAAGACTGATCCACCATCAATTTATTTCATTAATTAATGAAATAAATTAATAATCAATAAACCATTAAAACAATCCCTTGTAGAAGCTATCAGTAACTCCTATAATATTGTGAAACAAAGTCCTGGCCCATTCACAGTGACACAAAACGCACCAATAGTGGCTCTGAAGTTTTCCGCCCAAGCTCCCACAGTTTAATCTCACAAACAAGGGCCACAACCAAACCTGAGAGCACGAGTTTTTACAACACACGTATATATATCTTTACAAAGAGCAGCCCCCTGGTCTCTGCCCTGCTGCCTGCAACTGCTCCGCGCGGACAGCCCACCGGAGGATTGAGCAATGCTGTCAATATCAATTTATGAGCAATTCACAAAAACAGACGGGACGGAGGGTGTGATGGAGCGTCACAAGGTGCCTTTGTGCAGTGCTGTCACATGTATTCCTGGGGCAAGATTAACACCAACTTGTCTGTCACAGTCTTAATTTTTTTGGTACCAGCCCAGTCTCATAGCTGACTTCTCCACACAGCCCTTGGTTTGGATATTTGGGATTATGAAAGCATTAAAAATATCGCATGTGGTATCACTGTCTTCATTACTAGGGGCAGCATTTTTAAACCAGTCTTATTTTTGCAGAGAAAGGGAGTGCCAGGTTTTAGACATGTCAACAAACATTTACTGATTATACCCACTACAGCCAATATTTACTTCCAGAGGCCACACTCAGAAGATGGGAATTCCAGCTAAGCCCTTGTGGACCTGGACAGAGGAAACAACCAGGATCCTGCGCAGGTCTCTCAGAGGGTTTAAACAGTTGGAAACAATTCAGAGCCAACTTGTAATAAATACTAGAAACAAAATCTTGAGGTGGAATTTAGGCATCTGAACTCAGCCCAGAGAGGCTGTTGGCACTGGAGGTTTAAACTGAGAATATGGTTTGATTTTACAGCTAAGCCAATCCAAAAAGAAAGCAGCGGATAAAGCACCGTCCTGCTCTTCCCTGCCCCATCCCACATGCTCCCACCACTATCCTTTGGCCAGCATTACTAGTGCTCTCATTTCATTGTGAGATGATTCTGCAAGATTAAAAAAACAAAGAAAGGCAAAATTAAAGGGTTTTTTTTCCCCCCACTATATCTTCCTGACCTTGTTTGTCACAAGATCAGGGTCACTCTGATCTCTGCTACAAAGAGAAGACCAGGCATTTGGCAGACAAGGAAAGCAGATACTTCTCTGAGATAGCAAGCCATGAAATGGGTGAGCCAAAGTCAAACCACACCCTCAAACACTGTCTTCAAGAGGTACTAAGGATCTGCCCTGCAGGGATCAGAAGACTTAAAAAAGCATTTTAATTTGTGCTTTCCAAAAATGGAAGTACAAAAGTACACAGCCACTTGGAAAACACAGATTTCATATATAAATAACAAAAAAAAAGGAAAGTCTCGGTCATCATGATGTCGTTACACTCAGCAGAGAGAGAAATGCTTACTGTTAAGAAGGGATGCCGCGAGTTCTGTAAAACACGGTTTTCTGTCAGCGTGTGTGCTACTTCGTCCTGAAACACAAGCAAAAGGAAATCAGCAAATTAATTTCTCTGTCCGAGAGTCCATTTCATACACTAATGGAGCAATTACATGTAAGTACTCAGAGACTCCTCGATACGACTTTCCCCCAAGATGGTATCAAAGGTGAAACACGTTCCCAAGTTTCCCGTCTACTCACCTTTGCTACAATAACCTCCTTCTTCAGAATTTTCATAGCATAATACCGTCCAGTTGCTTTTTCTTTAACTAAAATGACCTTGCCAAAAGTGCCTTTTCCCAGTAGTTTAAGGTATTCGAACTCATTCATGGTCTGTTAATGATACAGATAAACAAGAACTGAGTGACACAAACTAATGACAAGTATATCTTTCTCAGACTAGAATTTCTCATTCATGTGAAAATACATTACATATGTTGCATGTGTGGGGGCTTTTACTCCTTTTGCTTAGTAGAGTTCAGGAGCAGAAATGATTCTCCCATAAAAATGAATACCAGTGCACTAGCAAAGGTAATCAATCAAACTATTTAGGGAAAACCATAAGCTTTCAATTAACAGAACAGTCTTTCACATGGCTCGACACTCAACTGTGCAAGCACCACTCAACATAGTACTAATCCATGGACATTTTGACCACTTTTTCAGTGCAGACACTCACTAAAACCCACGTGTTGCTCTGATTCCAGGGATTAAATCCACACCTTTCTTCTGACATTCCTCACCTCTCTAGAGGAGCAGTTTTCTTGTGCTTCACTGAACAGCCCCAAAACTCACAAATGATGAGCCATTCGCTCGTTTGTTTTGCCATTACAAAAAACAATGGGAAAAATCGGAATCTGCTGCAGCCTGACAACAGCCTCTGCACTGAGATATCAATGACCACTGCCAACATGGCAACAGTGAGGCTTGCACAGCCAGAGGCTACTGCAGCCTTGGCTGGGGAAAATTTTAAGATGCTCCCAACAGCAAACTTCCTCCATACTCTTGCCTAGAGCTGGCTGAGGAGACTTTGTTTTAATTGTTCGAAACAGCTGACACCAAGACCCCAATAATCGTTTTGGTTATCCTCACTGACATGCCTAGAGAGAGACAGTCACTGTCTCAGAAGAACGTGTGGCTTCACCTGGTGAGGTGGTTCTTGCATTCCTGTGAATATTCGCTCAGCAAGAGCGGTAGTCAAGGACAGAGAAGCCCAGTGGCAGCTACAACTCAAGAGTGACACATTAAGTAGCCACCCACAGCACTCTAAAACCATTGAACATGACAAAAGGCTGGCACACATACTTAGTGATAACACTGGCGGATGGTTATTTTATTTTTTCTTCTTTAAAAATTTCATCGGTTTTCCCATAATTGAAACAAAACTTGTAAAAGGAAGTGATCATGACAGTGGTGAGGTAAGGACACGAAGTGGTGCCTTGGCACAATCCACAGACATAATATTTGCACAAGAGAAGGTTCTATCAATTGCTTCTTACAATAGCAGGTGGAAACACTGAAACAGGAGACCACAATGAGGTAGGAAGAAGTGAAGAGAGGCTGAAGACAAATTCCTAAAAGGGGTTTACAGCCCAAAGACCAAAGACTGGCACATACTCCTTTCACGGAAGGCCATTGCTGAGCTGGCCCTGTGCATTCCATGCTGTGCTTCACGCAAAGCCCAGGCTCTAGGAACATTATGGACAGACACCACAGTGGCTGTCTGGGAGTTAGCCTAAACCCTTAATCCAGAGCAATTAAATCCACTGGAATATCTTTGCACCAGTCTGCTAAGAGTTTACACAGTCCCATGGTCCAGCAGGTGCTAAACAGAAGACATAATGGTAAGGATTGGAAGGGACCTCTGAAGATCACCTAGTCCAACCCTCCTGCCAGGGTAGGATCACCTAGAGTAGGTCACACAGGAACATAGTCAGGTGCATTTTGAAAGTCTCCAGGGATTGAGACTTCACAGGCCCTCTGGGCAGCCTGTTCCAGTGCTGTGTCACCTTCAAAGGAAAGAAGTGTCTCCTTATGTTTAGGTTGAATGTCCTTTTTTTACAGTTTGTGACCATGTATTGGGTTGGCTCAGCCGGATTTTG